AATTGAAAACAGGCTTTTGTTTCAGGGAGGAGTTTGGAATCATTAAAAAACTTTACAGTTTCCAAAGTCAAGGTAGCCACTTTCTTTCTCCTGGTTAAACTCTGAACCCAATATGTCTACTTGGAAAGTCTGTCCAAAAGTATAGGTACTAATGAGCACACATAAGTTACTCTTCAAACTGCATGATATGAACAATAGGCATTCTTCATTCATTTGGTTCTTTGTAAACAATTAAGTCAAACTTCATGATTACAGATCTTCTTTAGAAAGCTCTGAAACTATCAGATTTGCTGCAGTCAGTATGATGTCACCTTACAAACGGGCATATCTAGAACACCTCACAATCTATAGGGAATCCTCATTAGAATTGTTCCGTGTTAAGTCTCCGTAATAGCGGCAAACACCTTTGGCAAGCATGTGCACTCCCATTTATGCCTCATTTGGTATTAATGATCAGAGAGAGTCATTGAACAAAGTTACCTGAAATTGGTATGATTAATTTTGACAGGGAAAACAGAGGGACTTTAATAAGGCGGTATTTTGATCTACCACTACAAAAGGTTTGGTTTTGTTTTTAAACAGCAAACACACACAGTTTAGGTGGTGTTAAAAGTACCCAAAGGAGAGGAAATTAGGAAAAATTATGGGACAAAAACCTCAAGCCTTAACATTCTAAAAAGGTGAACAAGAGAACATCAATAATTTCTGACCCGTGTGTCTTCTTTCCTATCTATATAAAAATTTTATGAGAATAATGTAAACGTGGACTGAGTGTCTTCGATGGAGGGTACTCATAACTGATGTTCCAAAGCAGACCACATCTTTTCTATCATCACATAATTGTTATGTAGAGAACACAAGATCTCACTGTGCTTACTGTTTATACAATAAAATCAAGCAAGTCAACAGAGTAGGGTCAGAATAAAAGTTAATATATTATCCCTTATGCTCTGTCTTATTTTTTCTCTATCTTTAAAGTCTGGCCGTGGCTGATTTTAGAAGACAGGCATAGAATGCTAGTGGTTGGCAGTAATTAGTGAAAAAACCCAAGTACTAATCAGCAGACCTGCATTCTGGTCAGGAATCTCACTAGCCATGTGTGTGACCCTAGAAAAATCTCAGAGTGAATCCCTTCAAGCTCAAACATCCTGTAATTTAATTTTCATTTCACTTAATGCTGAGGAGTCAGAGGGCAAGGTAAGGCATCACTAAGCAGATGCTAAGCACCCTCTCTGTTAAATGAGGGGAGGTGAATGTAATGCTAAGGTCCTGCCCAGTTCTAAATCTGTGATCCTGTAAAAACCATAGAGTAGTGTCCTGTATTAAACATGGACAAAAACATTTTCCATCTTAGCCTCACTGCACTACAGTTTAAAAAGTAAACCATCTTAGTAGGTATGAGATGCCTCCACACAAATAATCGTGCTTCAGTCTTTGTGAATTTCTACTGAGCAGTGTTGTTTGCATTACAATTGTGACAGCCATAATCCTTAAGCAACATTTCCACATCTGAACTTAAAAAGGCTACTTGACCTATGCCAGACTGTAATGGCTTCCACCTACGGAGAAAAACACCATCATGCCAATTGAGCTAAAAACAGTACTTGTCAGGGGAAAAGGGAGGAATAGAGAGGGAAGACATGAAGAAAAGGGTAATAAATGCTATCTCTCTCCACTTAAATCCTGCCCACCTGCCTTTATAAAATCTGAATGTCCAAACATTTCTATGAAATAACAGTGCCAAGAGCTTATCAATAGGTCTAAGCTGCTTCTGAGAAGCACAGTACAACTAAAGGGGGGAAAAAAAACTGCATATGCAAATCATACAGTAGTCACTTATTTTTTATTTAACTTTGGGGGAAGTGGAGTGGGGATAGCATACATTTTATTTTTACAATATTTAACAATCACTTTTATCCAGGGTGGGGTTTTGTGGGGCTTTTTTTTTTTTGTATTTTTTGTTATATACTTGCAGAAAAATAGCAAGTACAGTTTGACAGTAGTACAACAACCTGTGCCCAAAACACTGACAAGAAATACAGAGAGTAAAGCTCAAATAATTGCTTACCAATATTTTGAGAGGTAACAAATAGTGTATGGATTGAGACTGCATAAAAAACGTACTGCTGGTTGGATATCTGAGGTAAATGATGTTCAATCAAGGATGCTACTTGTATCATTTTGCCCATAAATCAGTAAATAATTTTATGCATATTATACCAAATGTTCCTAAAAAGTAATTTACTAGAAAGGTTTTTAAAAAAAAGAAGTGGAAAAATCAGTGGTGAAACATTTTTCTTAAGCAGTAATTAATTTATTCTAGTGAACCTGGTCAGGGTATATTTCCCCACCAATATTTTGGGATAAATTTAGAAGTTATTTTGTTGCAGTGGCGGGGGTAAGGAAAGGAGTGACTTTTTAAAAATTTCATGCACAATGAATTTTGTTTCTGATTCCCAAAAAGTTAGTAAGATAGTCCTTTTCTTTCCTGATTTTTTTTTTTTAAATGTCACCATAAAGGATAGTGCAAATTCAAGGGATCAACAATTATGAGGCACAGTCTCTGTTCTGGAATTCATAAGGTACTTGTAATAAACGTTCAAATATTAATCACACTTCACATGCTAAAAACTTCCTAGCATCTAAATACATACAAGAGCTGTGCAGGGCATAGACTTCCAGTAAAGCCAAACACTGGTTAATCCATCAGTCCTATGGCAGTTGGTCATACAGCAATCCTCTTTCGTAGATCTGGGCAAGGTAAAGAGTATAAGTTAGAGCAGCGAGTCTGACTTGGTATCAGAAAGGCAAAATACAAGATGAGCCATGAGGAGCACCATATACATGAGGAAAAAAGTTATCAGGGTCACAAAAAAACCCCACAACAAAGGTCATGATTTTCATTCTCTTCAATCTTGCTTTTTTTTTTTTTTTCAGTATTCCTAGGCCAAGCTCAGACTTTCTTTCTGTTAGCTTGCCCACTTTTGTACTGACTGTAAACCAAACACAAAATGCCCTGCAAAACAAAGTCTTAACATGACTAGGAATCAGGACAGGTCACTGAAGCATTCTTACTTCACTAGTTATAAAAGTATTTTACTACCAACATAGTTTTCAAAAGGATACAAGTCATAAAATTGGCTAACTACAGTTAAGTACAATATCCAGGAGTTCTAAAAACAGGGTTTGTTTCTTTTCTACCATGAAGAGAAAAACATCATATATTTTTGCTAATGAGTTTTATAAAATTTACCTCTAGTGCTCACATAAGCCAAACATTCATAATACCCCTTGGTTTTTCTTTTAGTTGTGTGTGGTTTTTTTTGTTTGTTTTTTTTTAAAAAGAGGGCTAAACAGTGAAAACAAGTAGAAATAAATCTTTAAAAGGTGGAAAAAGTTCCATCATGTATTCAAATTTCCTCAACGGGTTCCCTTCTTGATTTGTGTCAGAACATGGAAGCAAAACAAAATTCAAATCAAGAAACCAGGAGGGAGCCCAAGCAGTTTGCTTTGCAAAAACACATAAAGCAGATGCATTCAACATAGAAATGGGCATTTGATGGTTACAATGAAATCCAAGTGATGAAAGGGACAAACAGCAAACAGAATGGTTCTGGATGGGATGTTAAATACAAACAACATTGCTATTACCCTTCTTCCCCTCCCTGCTTAGAGTATGTTGACCTAAGTCTCATAAATAATTAATTTTGTTATTGTTCCCAGAGATTAAGTGCATATCATATGTAAAATGAACTGTCTGTGTGGTCTTAAATAACCATCTGAATATAACACATTCACAGTGAGCTCCTGATAGTGACATTAAAAAAAAAAAACTCCTTTATAAAATTAATGCATGATTTTAAAAAGGTCTGACAAAATTATATCGCATAATACTGGCTAGCACTGGTCAATAATCTAGAGATTTTAGAAACCATTACATTTTAATTTGGCCTATATATGCTGAAGGAGGACCCAATCATTTTCCTATGAAAAGCACTTTGGCACCTAGTTACTATCAATCCTGGTGTGTTTGTTTGTTTTAGCAATAAGCCATCGATTATCTTAAGTTAATCTTGGAAAATTTTTGAAAATAATTTGAATATTGTCATATTTGTTTTGCTAGGCCGTGCTACCTACATCAACATTGGTTACCTCTAAATTGATTGCATATTTGAAGTTATAAGCTTAACTTGTTATCCCTGATTTTTTTAGTAGTAATATCTGAAATCTGTGTCTAAGGTGTATAACTTATTCTAGGATAATCTTACACATCACAGACATCAAATATTACTCTGACAAGATGGCACCAAGCAAAAGTGTACCTAGTTATAAGTCTCAAAGCAGAGAGTGAGGAATTCTGGGTAATGAAGCTTCCTGAGGTGATCCTTGAAACAGTGATACAGAATGCACTGCATACTGTTGGATGAAAGAAAATACACTAAGACTGTACATACATAAATAGGAAAAAGTCTATTTAAAAAAATTAATAAGAAAACTAAGAGCTTTCCAGTGTCACAGCTCACTTAAAAAACACTTTTTAAAAAAAAATCATGCTTTACATTTTCAAATATTCCTCAGACACAGCAAACCTAAATAGTATTGAAGTAAAATAAGTATATGTATTATTTTGGGAACTGGAGGTAAGATGAAGCTTTAAACTAAAAACAAGGAGAAGGGGATGGGGGGTGGGGAAACGATGTTAAGGTTTTCATTTCAAAACAACAGCACTTTTTTTTAAACATGAGCTAGCACAAGAAAAGGCTTACAACACTGCTTTAGGAATGGCCACTTCCTGTTGGCACAAAGCATAGCTTACCCTTTTTTTTAAATAACACAGTGAATTTGTAATACGTCTTTACAAAACATGGACTGATTTATTATTCAAATTTTGTTAGTGTTTTCAATCATAATTTAGCAACCATGGAACTGAGGTATACCTTGTTGAGGGAGGTTAAAGTAATGCTTGGAAGCCTCTTTACTGTATCCCACTTTGATGACTGTTTATGTACACGGAACAGCAGCACACTAAACATTCACAAGCTGTGTCATATTGGCATTACAATAGTCATTGATATAAACACAACAGCAAATGCAATAAAAACAAGTTACCCTTTTTAAAATCTGAAATGAAAAGTTTTTGATTTAAAAAAAATAGCAGTAGTTCATTTAAGGAATTAGTGTCTTCTGACAGACATTAAGAAATCTGATGTCAGTTTTTAAATGCTTGATTAGACAGGTCCATATGATCCATAGAGAGCCACATTCTTCATTTACATCTGAGAAGTTTCTTGATTGAGTTTGCCTCTTTGCTTGGTCATATGCCCTTCAAGTCTATGTAGGGAACGCAGTAGGTCTTTTGGATCCACATTTTTAAAAGACGGACTCCTTACCACCATTCCCAAAAGACTCACCACTCTGTTTCACACAGAAAACATTTTAAACTGTAAGCAGTCTCATTAGCTTAGCAGCTCCAGTTCTGAGTCCTATTTCTCAGTGTGAACAACCAATGTAATTATCATAGACTGGATTCTTTGGGAGGAAAGTCAACGTTTGTCACCATAGTGACCACAGTCACAATGTCCTCTGTTGTGATAATATTTGTTAGTCTTTGCATTTGAATAATCCTTTCCCCTACACAGCCTGCTGATAACCTGGCTTCTGCATCGTGATCCCAACATTCTTCTATTGTTTCACAAAGCATTGCCATTCCCTTAAAAAAAAAAAAAGATTCAATATGTCATTTTTCTCTTCTCAATCCAAGATCTGACTTGTCAAGCAGTGCATTTACTGAGTCTATACCACAGAAGTGCCGCTAAATATTTATTCCATCTACTGAACCAAATGATATGGAACAGTTTATTTAACTGGCAAAGCTGACCTCTGGGAGGGAGACATCAAGAGCAAAGAAACCCTCCCCCCCCACCACTCAGCCAGATCCAGAGTTTGGGAACGAGGCTCTCATGATGCTCTTCCTCAGCTAGACACAAAATAGAAACCAGAGATGGCTGATCATTTAACCTTATACATCCCAGGGTCAAAACTCATTTAAGTCTCCTTGCAAGGGAACTTGAAGGGCTATTTGGTGTAGTCCTTACCTCCCAAGCACAATACTGCATAAAAATCATTCAAGAAGGAAACTCATTTTCCCCTGAACTGAAGAGACTTATAAGACCACAGTGTCATAGTATTAAGCTACCATTCCAACCACTTGGTCGCCAGTACTCCATTACTGATGATACAATATGGAAATCATGCTACAAAATAGCCTTTTCTTAGACGTGTTCACAAATATAAGTCTTGAGAAGAAGGATTTTATTGAAATTTCAAGTCAATTTCACTTCAGAAACTTACAGCATGTTTCTGCCAACACTCCCTTAAAATAGGTCTCTTTTTTTTATGCACAACAACTTCCTGCATATCTTCAAGGGATGGATGCTGGCCAATTTCCTCTTCAAATGGCAACATGTACTCATCCACGGGACCTGCAATTTTTTAAATAAAGTTATTTTAAGTCATGCTGACTTCCATAAAAAATGGTACAAACTTTTAACACATTCTGTATCATCCTTTTAACTGTTACAAGGAACTCCTTCAGTGACAATAGATAATTACATGAAAAGTGGGTGAACAACTAGGTCTCTTTCATTAGGACAGTAAGATCAGTTAAACAGAATGAAATGTCTGTTATATCCATCTGGCATCTATTATGTATATTAGGCGCTGGGACAGACAGGAAAGCTTAGGTTAAGACACAGTCCCTGAACAGAGCCCAGCATACAGTAAGAGATACAATATAGTTAACTTATACTTCAAAGATCTGTAACTATCCATCATCAGGCTCCTACCTGAAACACATCTAGTTTGTTTAGAATGACCAGTGTTTTTGTTTTTGTTTGTTTGTTTGTTTTTGTGAGGCAATCGGGGTTAAGTGACTTGCCCAGGGTCACACAGCTAGCAAGTATCATGGGTCTGAGGCCAGATTAGAACTCAGGTCCTCCTGACTCCAGGGCCTGGGGTCTATCCACTGCGCCACCTAGCTGCCCAGGACGACCAGTGTTTTTGCCCCATAAAGGCATGGTCTTCATAGAATCCATGGTCACCTCAACACTTTGATGAGGCATCAGGCTAAGATTTTAACAGAAGATATAGATAACTAAATTACAAGGTGTATTATGTAATTAAATGCATCTGAGCACTATAAGTAAAATGCAATGTAAGGTATAGGAAGAGGAGATAAAAAAAATCCAAGAAGGCTTCATAAAGGGAGTAGCAAAGGGTCTTAATCCTGGGTCTATGAATTTGCATTTTTTTGTCTAATACTTTGATAAATACATTTCAGTATAATTGGTTTCTTTTGTAATCCTATGTGCTTTATTTTATGCATTTAAAAATATTTAAAAATATTATTCTTTCAAGAAGAGGGTCCAGAGATTTCAACAAACTGCCAAAGAAGTTCATGACCAAAAAAAGGTTCAGAATCCCTTTTTAAAAGGATAAGCAGGAATACATCACATGAAAGAGAATAAAAGAAGAGAAAGAAATTCAAGGCATAGGGGGCAGCAACAACAAAAGCACAGAGCAAAGGGAAATTCAGGGTATGTATAAGTGACTATGAAGTAAAGGAAAAATTATGAGGGAAGGCTAGAAGTGTAAGAAAATTGTGATGGGCTAGGTAAAGAATACAAACTTAATTCAAAATGTATGAAGGACTCAGAAGTTTTTTGAGTAGAGGGGTGACATTATCACATCTTTGCATAATGAAGATTGGTGTCATACTGAATTGTTTGGAGTAGGAAAAGAGTGGAGATGAAAAGACCTCTTAGGAGGATATTGCAGTGGTCCAGATGGATGGCATGCACTAGGGTGGTAGCAGTGGGAATAGAGGGAAGAAATGTTACAGAGGTCGAATCATCAGGTTTCAGTTAAAAAAAATCTAAACATGAGAAATAAAAGAAAATCAAAGACAAGCCCAAGGTTTCAAATACGGGAGACTGAGTAAATAGTGGTACCATTGACAGAAATAATTAATCAGAAGGGCAAATTTATTTAGAAAGATAACAAACTTAGTTTTCAGACATGCCAGAGATACCTCCAGGTGGAGATGTCCTTTAGGTAGTTAGGATGTTGGCCTGGAACTCAGAACAAAAGTCAGGACTACATATACAGATATGGGAGTCATTCTAGTTATAATTTTTATGGCATAAATTTTGCCATCTCTACATTCAGAATTCTCTTAAGACTTGATCTCGGGGGCAGCTAGGTGGCACAGTGGATAGAGAGCAGGCCCTGGATTCAGGAGGACCTGATTTCAAATCTGAACTCAGACACATAACACTTACTAGCTGTGTGACCCTGGGCAAGTCACTTAACCCCACTGCCTAGCCCCCGTGCCCCCAAAAAAAAAGACTTGATCTCATGTCCTCTTGACTTTAATTTATCAGGAATTACTTTCCTTCTGCATGCACTCAAAACAAAGACAATCTAATCAGTTAACAAAAGAAAGGGAATAATACCTCAACTGGACCCCATCTATGCAACTTACACCAAGATATCAATAGCCCATGTTTCTGCCATGAAAGTATTAGGACTAAAATTAGCTCTGCTCTCTCCAACATTAGTCAGGCTTCACACCTCTACTTCTTAGCTCTTACAAAAAACCTTACAAGAGTCTGTATTAAAACACACACACACACACACACCATTCAAAAATCACCTCAATTACATCTTTCAGGTGCTTGTTTAAAAACAAAAAATATATATTTTTTTGGCTACTATTTTTAACCAATAGGAAACATTCAGTAACAAGCCTACAAATATTCTGACACAAACAGCATCATTCAATTCTGAATTACAATTTGTTAGGATCTTGCGATATAATAACAATCAGTAATCTTCATAACCAAAAACATGTACACATATTTGGACATGCATCTCATCTGAGAAGTTTAAACAAATATGTGCAAAGCCAACACAATCACAGAAGCTTATGTGGTAAAAAGGATCTAAAAGGTCATCTAGTTCTGATTCTTAATAGTACCAGTATGACCTTGGGAAAGACCTGTCTGGGCCTCAGTTTCTTTATCTGTAAGGTTGTGTGCAGCTCGAAAGCCTATGAAGTGACTTCACTACTCAGTCTCAGTTTCCTAATCTATAAATGGGGATAATATTTGCCCTACCCTACAGTACACAGAAGTATAAGTTATTATTTTTAGTCCAACCTCATTACACCAGTAGAGGACTTCCGCAGTATCACTGGTAGCCATCCAGCTTCTACTTCAACTTGACCACATCCAGTCAGAGGGAGCTCAGTACCTGACAACACAGTCTGCTCTGTTGCATGACATTTCTATTACAGAGTTTTTCCTTATAATTACCTGAAATTTGCTTCCCCATATTTTCTACCCATCAGTCCTATTTCTGTTCTCTGGAGCTATACAGAGTAAGTTTACTCCTTCATAATAGATCTTTAAATGTGTAAAAACTAATAATGTATCTCCTCTCATAATCATCCCTTTTCCAGGGTAACATTCCCAGTTCCTTCAACTCTTTCTCAAAGGACATGTCCTCTTCACCTTTTCCAGTCTTTGCTATCTTGGTCACACTCCTCTCTGAATGCTCTCTAGTTTGTCAATGTCCCTTATAAAAAGTGGCATCTAGAACTGATTATAATACCTCAAACATCTACAAAATTAATTTAAAATGCTTATATTAAGTGCTTATTGATGTGCAAATGTGCAGTTATATACACAGCACTGGGCTAAGCTCTAAGGATATGAGCAGAAAAGCAGGCCAGAGCCTGCTTTCAAACAGTTCACATTCTAATAGGGTAGACAACAAGGTAGATAGAAAGGCTCTATGATCTGGATAAAGCAGCAAAAGAAATAGCAATGCACTTTATCAAATGTCATTTCTACAAATAATCATACTCATTTCTTACATGAAAAATTTGGCACTGCCAAAGACTTTGATAATGAAAACTTTCTTTTCTGGGTCTTCAGTTCCTGTGGCTTCTGTGCAGGCAAAGGATAGCACCCACAGAAGTAGGACCAGATCAAATCTTAAGGGCTGGTTGGAATCAGGACCAGTGGTCTGGGGATACTGTAACTCCTGGAATTCTTGGGCTTCCCCATCAGACAATGTGGCATTTGGACAACTGTTGGCTTAAAGCAGGGCCAATCATCTAGGGTACTGTTATTCCCAAGGTTCTCTGGTCTAGGGTCCTGAGCTATTTTCATCTGGGTTTGAGGAGAGGTGGTAGCTAAAATGGTAGCAGTGGCTTGACTTGCCTAGCATATGCCTCCTTGTGTCTCAGAGTACCTTGGTACTGCAACTCCGTGGGCTTGCCTGATAAATGGAAATAATTGGTGGGATGGCTGGCTGCAGGACCCGTGAACTAAGGGTGTTCCTGCCACTCCCAATGTTCTAGGGCTTCTCTGTTCAATCACAGCAGGTACTGGAGATGGTAAGGCAAGTGAGCCCTTTCTCCACAATAACTGCTCCCCTCAATGATGGCTATGGAACCTAAGCTAGAAATGCAATGGGTCATTACCTTCCTTAATCTGAGGGCTGTATTTTTATTACTGTAGCTTAGAAGTACATTTTTAAAAAATATATCAATGAACTTCTTATAGGAGCTTTAAAAATCAGGCACATTTGGGGAATTCTGTTAGCTGACACATGAGGCTAAATTTACTCCTAGTTGGGCAATGAAGTCTCTACCTGTTTGCACAGCTATTTTCCCATGCTTAGATTTAGTGTGGAGAGTATTATCGTATCTATTAAAATATATTAATAATGGTTGAGAAGAAGCAGATGTTCTGAGAAAGCAATGGAGGTAACTATATCTAGCACTCTCAAATGGATCTTTGAACTCAGCATTTCACAAGTTTGTGATCTTCAACAATGCAGATGGCAATCCATCTAGCCCTGTCCAACCTATGTGACTCTTAAATGTCTTCCTAAAAATCTGCCACAGGGTTTACTCTATGACTTTCCTCACTGTCTCTTCACACTGGATCAGGGCCATCTTTCAATCTCACCATGTGAGCAACCTACTTCCTCTGTCATACAATTCCATAATAACATCCTTTACACCTGTTCTTTGCAGTACCTTATGGGTTATATGTTATAGCCTGCTCACCCACACCATGTACTTTTCCATTTCCCCTCTATGTGATACTTCACGTTAGCTCTTTGAAGGCAGTGATGTTGCAGGGCTGACTTTCATATAATAAAGGTAGAATGTTTTTATTTTTAAAATGGGCCTTTGGAATTATGGGAAGCGTGGGGTCAAGTAACAGGGTTTTACAGTTTCCCAAAATAAATAAATGAATGAATGACTAGATGGATGAAGTATTTATTAAGTGTTTACTAAGCACTCACTCTGTTGTGCTAAGCTCTGGGGATATAAAAGTAAAAAAAAAAAGTAAAGTAAAAAAGTCCCTGCTCTCAAGGAGCTCACATTTAAACAGGGAAGACAAGA